GCATATTATTACATGTTATGTGCAATTTACAATGAGTTAATTTAAATTTTTGGAAGAATATTAATTTTTTTTTTGCATTTCAGACATGAAACCCAATGTATTAAAAATATTAATACAGCAGTTTAATTGGGAATCTTTATGTAGGAACCAGGACACAATGCAATCAACACATATAAATTGAGGGCACGGTCTGGCGCTTCCTAGCATGTAGAAATGTTTGAGACAAGATTATAAGCATGTTGCACTAACCATAAGTTCACAGTTGGATGCTTATCCAATAAAGTAGTTTTGTTTAGCTGCAGCAATTAAATTAGCACAGAAAATACTACCACATCTCTCACACACCTTGCTATGTTCCTTCTCCTTCCAAATGTCACTACTGACCTTTTCTGCAGCTCTTCACAATTATTTACATTTTTGAATAATTACTGACAATATATCTAAGATTTCTGTATAAACCTGAATGTCAGTAACACCTGTGGATTATATAACCAGCCATTTAAAGGAAGCAATTTCTTTGCCAGCTGTTAGTAACAGACATGGATGCTTCCTCTGTATTACAAGTTTTCTTAAGAAAGGTACCTCTTACCAGACAAGTTATTTATAGCATTCCTAAAAATACTATGGAATGTATAGGAGGTGCTCTTTAGAAAATAAAAAGAACATCTTTGCTTAAGAATAAACACACACATATCTACTAGAGAAATAATGATTATTTTAACCTTCTGCGAGGCGATGGCTTACATGAATCCAGACTTTTGTGGATGATATATCTTCAGGGGACACATAGAGATCACACATGTAGCAGTGAATTTAATGTCTCTATGAACAGTCTCTTAAGTAGATGTATAGTTTTTATAGATGTATAGATTAAATCTACATGCTGATTAAAAATACAGGATTTCAACAAGCACTCAATTTCCTGCCCTAATTTAACAAGTGCTCAGGCAGAGGAGAGAGGAGATGAGGACAGGCTTGCAGAGGCGTGGGGTTGGCGTTGCACCCATGACTGAGCCAGGATACTAAAATGGTACACCCTACAACCTGACTTATACAGCCTGGACCTCTAGAGCCATGGAGCAGAGCTGAGCCCCGTGCCTGGCTCAGGATCTCCAGCAGCTCATCAAGGGCTTGTGGTGGCAGCATCTCACCCCATGTCCTGCTGCGGGGAGCAGGGACTGAGCAACAGCTCCACCTTTGTCCTCATCCATGAAAGGTAGGAAAAACCTTCTGCCATGACTCAGCTTTGATAAGAGAAAGTAAGAAATCCACTACCAACTGTGGCTCCTGGCCAGGAGAGGAGACATCTTGGTAAGGACGTTGCTGCTTTAGCAGCAATAGAGACCATCTCAGTTTTGGCTGCTTGAGAAAAACAGTTGAATAAACCTACCTCAGTGCCAATGGTTAATGATAACTCCCTCCCCTTGCAATGGCCTTGCAAATTTGTTTGTAGGAAAATGCCTTTTGTCTTGAATTAAGATTGTACTAATTTAAAAGCAAAATCTGCTTACAGAAGGGCTATTCCATTCCCCATTGGTTCCTCGCCCCTGTAGATGGAACCTCTTACCTTGGTTACACACTGTAACACCTCATCTCCTGGGTTTAATGAGTCAACAAATCCATGCTTTATTTACAGGAAAGTACTACATTCTTCTTCTTCTTAAGTACCAGAAATTCTGGGAAAAGCCAGCATAGGCAGTGCTAAACATCTGATCAGTTAGATCCATAGATGGCAGGATGGGACTGTCCAGCAAACACTCCTCATGTGAGTGATCTGGGAGGATCATGTACTTCATATACTTACCCACAAAAACCAACACATTTGGATGATACAGATTCATGGACTTAGCCATGAATAATTAGCAAGTTGCCATTCATTATTAATTTATTGGAACCACTGCTTCTCTGTATTTTTCCTGCAAAGGTCAGTCTTTCTATTTTACAGCTGCTGAATTTATTACTAATAGCTAGATCTTAGACATGGCCAACAAGTCTTCAGTTAGGGATATGATAAATTTCATTACGTTTGCGGGATCTGGGGTGTTCGTAACTCCCCAGACATGAAGTTCTTCTGCAAACTGATCTGGCTATCTGTCCCCGGGACAGAAGTGGCTCTGGGTGACCTTCTGCTGGGTGTCCCCAGCTCACAGCAGCAGTGGGGTTGTCCTCTGTCCTCTGGCCATGGGTGAGCTGCCATACCCCAGACAAGTTCTCCTCCTTCCCCATCCATCCCACAGGCACCATCAGGTACAGCTCCATTAATCTACTGTCTGCTTTGCCCAGTCCATGTCTGCAGTCACACAAAGTCAGTTTTACCTTGTCCTGACATCCCTTTACCCACTTTATGACTTTCTATTAGCTCAAGGTTGCCTTTATGGATCACAGAAAGCCAGAGCCCTCTTGGTAGTAGAAGGAATAATCCTTTTTCTGGTATCCTTGAGTTTTATATCTGCATAGGATGCAGACACCAACAACGGAGAATATGATTAGCTCTGTTCCCGAGAAAGGCTCCCACTGTGCACAGCTACAATGTCATTTATATATTACATGGGGATGTGCAAAGAAAGAAAATACAGATTTTTTAACTCTGCTAAAACATTTTTCTTAAAAAACCCAACAGCAGACAGAAACAACCAATTAGCAATTATCTAGCGATATTGGGCAAGGTGCCAATACCTAACAGCAGAGGTGTGTAGACTTCCATGCTCAGGATTTGAACCGCTCCTGCATTATGACAGCGTTTTGACAAAAACCCCTGTGTCTGCAAACCAGTTGCAGTTTCACATGGGAAAGCAGCGGGGCATGCGGCGGGGCTCCCAAATCATGGCCATTACTGGCAGCTGTGCTAATGATGCTATTCCAACTGCTCCACATCTCAGACTGTATTGCACCAATGCAATTAACAGTTTAAAATACATGCTGAAATAAGACATCAATGTCTAATTTTTAACTTTTGTCAAGTAACATGATGATCAAATTATATTTAACCCTATATTTGACTATCAAATATTGCAACCAACCATTAACTGCTAACACTTCCCCCACACATACCTGAACCAGCGCATATGTTCAGCTATCATTGCCAACAAAATAAAAAGTAAGTAGTGTTTCACAAGAGAAAATTCTCTCTGAAGGATTAAGGAGTCCATACTTAATTAGTTTTTACCCTGTGATTTTTTTTTTTAATTTTTTTTTTAAAAGTGATACTCTTTCTAGATTACATTAATGCAAACTATGAGCAAGGAAAAAACTCCACCAAATGAACTTCATTCCCAACTGAAATTTAGGTCACTGCCTTTTGGAGTCCATTCTATAAGTTGTTACCCTGTGATTTTTTTTTTTAATTTTTTTTTTAAAGTGATACTCTTTCTAGATTACATTAATGCAAACTATGAGCAAGGAAAAAACTCCACCAAATGAACTTCATTCCCAACTGAAATTTAGGTCACTGCCTTTTGGAAACCTCTCCTTGTTTTGACTAGATTAAAAAAAATCATAGTATAATATAAGACATTTCATCTTGGTCTTTCAGTCAAACCTCTGAGCTAACATCACCCCCATATTTCATTCCGTGAGGTCAGGATCAGACCCCGATTTCAGTATTTTCTCTCAGACTGTTCTGCTTCACACATCCCATCTCTTTCATGATGGAGAACATCTATTTTTATGATTTGTAACAATGTATTTTGTACTTATATGACATTTTCAACCTCTGCATCTCAAAGTGCTTTTTAAGGGTGGCTACATGGTACCTCAATAATTTAAAACTGATAAAATCCTGGCAGCAACTAACAGACAGATTCAGCTCTGCTCTGTTCAAAATTAAATCAAACCTTCATTTTACCTTCTCTGAATTGCAAATACACCAAATACTACCTGCTTCTGGCATAATATTCCTTTGTTTTCACTTCTTGCATTTTCTGTTTAAAATAAGTGTAACTTTGTTCCACTTTGTTAATGATTTCTCAAATATTAAATAAAATGGCAGCAAAGGCTTCATGCTATTTTCTGCCTATTACGTCTCTTCTGCAGTAATTCAGAATATCCTGACAATACATATCATATAGGAAGTATATTCAGAAGGAAGTTTCATGGCTAGAAGGCAATAACCCTAGGATTTAAGCAACTGAAAATCTACATTTCCACTCAATAAGAAATATCTTTATGTATATAAAGATATATATATGTACATATATTCTTTTTTTTATGTAGAGAAAAGTGTGTAGGATATATTCTCTTTTATGTAGAGAAAAGTGTGTAGGATATATTCTAAGTTTTTTCTTTCAGTTTTATCACTACCAGAACAGATTAACAGTGAAGTTCAACTACGAACACCTTTGGATGCCATTAACAGATGGCTAGATATTCAACAACGGTGAAATACTACAAATTCACAGGTAAAAATGTCTTTCAAGCAGGACATTTGAGACTCATTTTAGGTAACCTTCATGCTAAAAATCTCAATGCATTGCTTTTCCTATTACAATGCTTATTGCCTTTTCCAAAAAATTTAACTTCAAGTCCTCCGCAACTTCTCCGTACCAGAGGCCGACGACTGACAAACCGACCTGTGAGCAGGGCTCTGGCACACCCCAGTTATTCAGCTCAGTATATTCCTTGAAACTAGCTGAAAAAGTTTTAAACTTTGTTTACAGTGGTACCTTAGTGATCCATTATTACTATTCTGAGTAGAAAGATTTTCTCATGCTAATTCTGTCTCTATACCATGATGGCGGGTTGGGTTCAGTTGTGGGTTTTGTGTAGATTCATAACTCATTGATATCCACAAAATGTGCCATCGCTTTCAGAACAGAAACCCTTCTGCAGCACGGAATAAGTAACCAGATGAATTATTTCCCAGTACTGAGGAACACAATGGTATTTATATGTCTTGTAAAGAAACCAGGGGGAAAAAAGCATACTACTATTTTTTGGCTTTTGAATCCATGTATGTGGAAACAAATAACCATGAACATTTGCCACGTGTCCACGTTACTTACGGTTGAGAGGCAGGCTGGCATTGGTCGTCCCTAGCTTGTTGGCAGCGACACATGTATAGTTGCCAAAATGCTCTTCTGTGACATTGGTAACAGTAAGAAGTGATCTTGTACTATAATTTTTAATAGTAATTCCTTGTTGACCATTGATCAGTCTAGAAAGCAAAAAGAAAATTTCTGTAACTCATATACCGTAACCAATAAATTCCTCTTTTTTTTCTTTCCTTTTTTTTTTTTTTTTTTTTTTTTTTTGAAGACTTTACTGGTTCGTCCCTAGCTTGTTGGCAGCGACACATGTATAGTTGCCAAAATGCTCTTCTGTGACATTGGTAACAGTAAGAAGTGATCTTGTACTATAATTTTTAATAGTAATTCCTTGTTGACCATTGATCAGTCTAGAAAGCAAAAAGAAAATTTCTGTAACTCATATACCGTAACCAATAAATTCCTCTTTTTTTTCTTTCCTTTTTTTTTTTTTCTTTTTCTTTTTTTGCAGACATTACTGGTAGCACAGTAAGCTGTTTGCAAGCTACCGATGTAGTCTGTTGAGCAAAATTATCATAGCGGCAGATCGGAGAGGCCACGGGCAACACTGGAGCTGTGGGGTGTTGAGGGGAACAGTTTCTGCCTGTGTCCCCTGTACATTCGAAAGAAAATAAAGACTGACACCCATGGCTCTGCCTGCCTGGCCATAGGATAGGATATAAACTCTCAGATGGAGAGCTTAGATTTTAAATTGGACAAACCTAACTAAAAAATTAAATACCCCATTTGGGGCAGAAAAGTATTATGATAAGTCTTTCAGAGAGCGTTTTTTTCAGACTCTGGAGATTGCTTGTGTCCTTACACACCACCACCTGATGGCAGATGAGGATTAGTTAGCCCGAAATGCGACTACGTAGGATTGTGACCACAGTTTATTTTACATGCCTCTACAGCTACAAATTAGGCTTGCAATTACAAAAGATGTGCTACAGCAGCACTACATCCTGAGACAGGAACCTGAACAGAAACCAGGTAACGAAGCATAGGAAAAAGCCAAACCAGGGCTTTTTTCACCTGGCTCTGTTTCCCTGGCTTTGAGCTTCCCACCCCAAATTTCATAGGAACTGTGCAGGTCTTCTGATGTTGCTTCCAAAGCCATGTCAGAAGCACCGCTGCTGCACTGGGGCAAAGAAACATGACCAATTTAAATGTTGCTGTTGTAGTTAAACCATTTCTGATCAAACAAGGAGATGAAAAGGGTAACCATGTTATTAAAATATTAGTTACAGTTGATTACTCATAATTCCTTATATTTCACATAAGGAGCAGAGTTCCAGATTAAGTATACAATTTTTGTTTGAAATATTGAAAGACATAATCGTATATCCTGGGAACGAATGCAATCTTCTAACATTCTGTCTAAAACCATTTCAAGTCTATCATTAATTGCACTTCTGCATGTTGTGGATTGAATACTTCTCATTGTTACATGAATGCCTCTGTTCCCATTTAATCACTATACGCTGCTGCACATACAGGGGGCTTCTCTTCCCTGTGCAGTTTGTGTTGCTGTAAAGGACTCTGGTCTGCTCTGCGCAGCCCATCGTCAGGGAGAGGACATAGCACAACCCATGGACACATGTGGTTTTGCGAGAAACAAAAAAATGGGATTGAAATGCCTGGTTTGGGGTGAATGCTGCAGTTAGAAGATTCATCTTTTCTCCAGACTTGTGAAAGGCAGAAGCTTGTCCTTTCAACTTATGCACGTGCTTCTGCACACAGATGTTCTCCTTCTAAAACTGCCAATGTCTGTCCCTCCTCTTTCTGCCTCTCCTGCAGAAAAACCCAAGAGCCTCCTCTGCTCCGAAACACACCCTGCTACAATGCTCCCATGCCAGCATGCCGTGCCTCATAGCCAGCGACAGCGTTATCAGCGTGGCAGCAACTTATGCCTGCATGTGGTGGTCAGGGAGGTGGAGCAGGCAGGTGCTCAACAGCACACCCTAGTTACTCGCTCGAGCCCCAGGTCAGATGCTTTCCTCAGGATGCTCCTTCCCCAGCAGGGAGGGCACGAGCTGCAGCCACGGCTGCCTTCCCTTCCCGCTGCCTTTCAGGGTTTGAACCCCCTTATCCCCTCTCCCAGGGGACCTCGGGGTACTGGAGTGATAGCTCCACTTTCATCTATGGCTTATTCCTACCAGCTGTTTCCAAGCCACCTCCATCCTTTTGGCCCATAACTGCAGTTTGAACTGCAGCATCTCTATTTTACAGCTATAAGGTTTAACTCATTTTTTTGTCCAGAAAACAGTGGGGTGTTGGGATTTCTGCCATCCCCATGCCCCGTCAGAGGCGACATTCATATCAAAGATTTAACTGCGTCTGCCTGATGTGATCTTCTGCCTTCCCCAGGCTGCCGAAAGGACAAGCACTGTGGGTGCCAGCTCAGACCCCTTCCCCTCCTCCTCTTGCCCTCCTTCCTCTCCCACCGCTCCTACCAGCACAGTCTGGACGGCGTCACCTTTCTTCCACATCCCTGCTAGGAAGTGCCTGACACTGGGGGCCAGAACTGGAAGTGGAGTAAATGGAATCAGATAGATATGCATATCAATAAGCCATGTAATTAACGGACCGAGGAGTTGGCATTAGTTAGCATAAACTCATCAGTTTTGAGGATTTCCATTTGCAGTTGTAACAACCAGATGCTTTTACTTTTAAATTAATTACTCCCATGTGCTGCTCTGCTTAGCTTATTGACTGAACATGGCCTTTATTACTTGTCTGGGTTTTACCAAGTTACTTCTCAGGCTGGAACAGCGTTTTAAGTTGTGTGCAGCCACCCTACACATTTCTTCATTTTACTGCTTTGTACCACTAGTTATAAGGGGAAGAGCGATCACCTTTTTATTCCAGAGATTATGCCTACGCATCCAAAGAAGGTCATGCATCAGTGCCAGCCCTGAGGGGTACCTACCTTTGGTTTCATATTTGAATATCTTCACGTTATTATAATATATTAAGCCATTATAATAAGTTTTGTTATTTCAAATGTAAGTCTTGTTTTCTTTGTCAAGGATAAGGGAATTAATATTTTTAGATAGGCAACTTTTGGGCTTTTTCCCTGTGGCTGTTTAATGTCTCAGATCTAATTTCTGCGTAACCCTATAACATAACATAATTGAACTGTTGTGAATTTCAGAAACTGGGAGTCAGCACAGTGAAGTCATTCTCCTCTCCACAGGGAATCCTTGTACAGTTTTAGAAGCCACACACTTTTATAATTTTAAGATGCTTTTAATAACTTTTCCTCAAAATTTCCAGTCCCTTCCCAGCTCACCCCACCCTCCCCGTCTCGGGGTACCCTCGGCTCAAGGTCTGTGCAGCCACTTGGCAGCTCCCGCATGGAGTTCAAGGCACCGCTTTTGACAGATAAAGTGCTAAATGGTCTGAAACCTGCCAGTGAGACCCCTCCTCGCCTTTCCCCAGCTACAACAGGAGAGTGGAGACGTTCATCCTGCCTGCTCCCTGTCCTGGAAAGTAAGACAGCCTCTGGCGGGCTGCAGCGCTCAGGCTTTGGGCTCTTTGCCTTGCGCTTGGCCAGGGAAGAATATTGCAAAGCACGCTTGTGCACCAATGCTTACGGAAAGTTAACAAACAGCAACACTTGTGAGCTCAATGATTAGGTAGGTTTAGTCCTGCAAGCTCTCTGTCTCGAAGACCAGTAGTTTTAATGGGATGTAGTCTGTGACTGCTTTTATGTTTAGTTTTAATGGCTATTTTATGATGACATGATCCCTGGAGTCTGGAAGCCGTGGGTTTTGATTTACATTAATCTAAGTAACAACAGTACAGTTTACAGACCCAAAAGGCTTGTTTCAGACGCTGAATGTATACTTGGGGTTTCAGATTTAACTCTCACTGTTCGTTTATTCAAAGATTCATCCAGATTCACACACACACACAAAAAAGTCCCAATCCAAGACTGATGAAAATGGGATTCTTTCTATGCTATTAGCAGAAAATAAAGCAGGGCGTGCACTCCCAGTATATAAATTTAGTCTTGTAGTATATCTGCAAATTATCTGCAGGATAATGTACATGCTACTCTGAACTACCTGTGAAAGCAGACTCTTCTCAGTTTTGCATTAAAACAATGACTGAGCTGTCCAAGGCTCATTTTGTGCTGGCTTTCCATCCTCCAGAGGTAAAGGGGATATACTGGAGAGAAAAACCAATGTGTATGTATTGTCCTCTTTCCTGCAAGTGGTGGAGGTTCAGAGATTCCCAGTACCTTTGTAGTCACATATGTCTAGCATGTCTGTCAACAACAGTTTAGCAAAAAAGGATGGCCCATTAGACTTAACATAATATTTGAGCAGTAAGATGCAATAGGACAGTACATTTCTTGCTGGTTATAGCAAGCCTCAGGTGATACATCAACCAAAACAGAAAACAGAAAGCACAACTTTGGCATCCTGAAATGCTCTGCTTAGTCTTTCTTGCTGCTGCCACGGCACCGAATGTGGTCATGAAGAAAGGAATTGGTCAATGTCATAAATAGAAAGGTGATTATCGTGCTGGAAATGGCTAATTGAATCCAGAGTGCTAAAACTTACAATACTTTCTACATAACATATGTTTCTGCTGCAGCTACCCCCCAAACGTGTACAATATAATATGCATCTTTGGAAATAGGATGCAGATTAATTTCACCAACAGAAGGAAAACATTTAGTGTTATATATAGTCAAGATCGATTATATTGTTTTAGAGAATGCTTTAGGATATGGTCAAAGTGCAATAGTTACAACTGCTCTGAAAACTCACAAAGGAAGATGAGCAGCTAATGCTCCTAAAGGAGAGCAGCTGGCCAGTGAGAAATGAGCTGACAGATGGCTTTCTCTGAAAAATGGTCATTAATATTCTTATGTCAACTCCCAGGTTTAATGGGACATTCGAGCTGAGAAACCCAGCCCTTGGAAGCCAGGAAATTCCAGAAGCTAGAAGGTGCATATGGTCAGTCGCTTACAAAGGACAGTATCCACTTGCTTTTGCACCAATATGTAAACTTAACAGAAACAAGCTCTTAGATAACCTAAGAGCTGTAAAACAAAATTTCCTATTCAAAAAGAAAAAATATCTACCTGTTTAATGAGCTGCCTGTTATCATTATATAGTACTAACAACCTGCAAATGAAACTGACTGTAAGGAAAACCAAAGCACATGGTTAGTTTCTAGGGTTCGAGCAGAGACCGCTTCCCTGACCCCCTCTTGGATGCTGTGAAGTGCAGCAGCTTTACTTGAGTCTGTGGACTAGAAACCTGTAGTCTAGACCACTAATGGCACAACTGGGTGAAAATTCATACACATTAAGGTTTGGTTGAAAGTCTTGTTCATGAACTGACCTTCCCACGCCCAAAACCCTCAGTGGGAAACCTATGAAGATGAATTTAAAAAAAATTAGAAGATCCTTTTAGTAGACTTTTTCAGTGCCTTTCTGGTTATTATACTTGAAGGGCTGTAATTACTAAAGCATGTTTAAACGTTAGGCTCATTATTGGAATTATCACTATCACAGCCCAGCCACGGACAGCCTGATTATGCCACATTTTTGTGGCACAGAAACTATGACCACAAGGAAACCAGGAAACTCCCCCAAAAGCCGTGCAGAATGGTTGTTGGTACGCAACACCTCCAAGCACCCACTGTTTAAAGCTTGGCATTAATTTCAGGACAGCCTGCTGGACTTGTCATCACGGGGGACAAACCCAGCCTGGCGGTCTCCTCTCTCTTTCACCCGGGTCCCCACAGGTGAGCAGCATCCCCAGCAGCATGAGTGGGTCGGTGAGCACCGGCTACTTACTTCCTCTCTCCTTTGTACCACTCAAAGACTGGGGCAGGAACTCCTGCACCTTCGCACCGTATCAGTCCGTTCCCTCCAAGCATCACACCGCTGGATTTAAGTTCCTGAATTGTGGGGGCAACTGAAAAAAAAGAATTGTAAAATGGATATTTGCATCTAGATACGCAGATTGTTTAACGCCACTTCTCTTCAGCACGCTTTACGTTACTCTCAGCCTGGCGCATGTTTTCCAGCTTGGTTCACAATCACGTTTTCTTCCAGCAGTGTAAAAATTATCCCACACAGCAGATTCTGATACAGATCTGTGTATCTGGTATAAAAAACACAACTGAGACATGAAGAAAGATCAATCCCATACTCAAAAAACGCTGTTTTTCCAACTCAGTGACTCAACATAAGGTATAACTATTTATAAGCGTTAGTGTTATACAAGATGTATCTAAAACCTGAGAATCAGAAAAAAGCACATGAAGCCCCAACACCGATGCCGGCTGAGAGGCTGGGGGGGGCCCCCGGGGCCGGCCGGGGGGGGGCCCCCCCGCCGGGGGGGGTGGAGCCCCCACAGCTGGGGAGGAGTATGGCAGCGCCTGGGGGGCAGGGGCCAAAGCAAAGAGAACATGGCCAGCACCACTTATCTTCTTCATCATGTCTTCTGCAAATGCCCCATAAACCGCATGGGCTCAAATGGGCTTTGAGATCTTGTTTTGCATATTAAAAGAACAAACTTACTTTCACAACTGCAAATACCATATAACAGCATGACTTTTCCAGTATTACACTGGATATAGAGTTGTTTCAGTAAATATATTTTGTCTTTTTAAATAGTAAACATTGTAAATAGCAATACACATTTTAAGCTTAGAACTACAGATACAAATAAAGATAAAAAGCGATTGTCAGTTTTTCCAGTTGCCAGTGAAAGGCAACTGTAAGCTGAAAATAAAACACAACAAATTCCTTAGGAAAGAGATTATCAAAGGAAAGGCTGAACAACAACTGCCTTCTCCCTGGAATCTCTTTTACGTTTTCTGTTTTTAAACAATAATTTATGTGCATAATAAAAACGCTATAAAAAAACACACACAGAACTTATAAATGAAAATCTGTTTATTTTTTCCCAAGCAGTTTTCCAGATGTTGCTTTAAGGTGTTTATGTACATGTAAAACGCTGACTGCCTCTAGACTGCTTCTTTCACCATCTCACCCGTCGCTCAGCACGCCACGTTAAGAGACCATAATCTTTTACAGGAACCAGCCACACTAAAGAAGCATCAGATACATGAAAGAGCAGAGTGACAGCCAGGTTCCCTGCATGGGTGGGTCAGCTCCATCGCACATCTCATCGCACACTCGTCCTTCACCAACACCATCAACGACTGCTTTTCCAGATGTGTAGGACATCACACAGGAATCCAGATGTCACAGCCCAGGGAAAGCAAATGCACATTCTTAGCACTTACACACAAGTCTTGATGTTTAACAAAACCGTGTGAGGATGTTTTGGGTGTGATTAAACAGAGAACTGGTTCTCTCTCACCCATTGCTCATGTCCTACCCCAAGTCAGGCAGACAGACAGACTACAATTTCCCACAGCTGGCAAACACACCTTCTGCCTTCAACTTTCTCTTCTCAATGATTACATAAAACCAATCCATAAATTCATTAACTTTCAATTGGTAGCTTTAAAATTTCAAGTGGATAATAAACATATAACCAATTTGCATGACTACTTCTCCATAGTCTGCATAGGAAAAAAATAAGATTGTTTTTGTTACTCCATAAAAATAACAGGGACATATAAAGCTTACTCCTTCCTGAGAAATGAAGCAGTTTGCACAGCCAAGACTTTTAAAAAATAAGTTTGAGTGAGACTGATCACACGAAGAGCTAAGAACTGGTTACATTTTGCCTTTGCTCCTACAGCGCCACGTGGCACCAGCAGCTACTCAGAGCACCACAAAGCTCATGGATCAGCTTGTGCTTCTGAAACGTTCAGAAGAATGATACTAAAATTGTGCAAGATAAACCATACGAAAGCATCACCTGGATGATGGAAGAAAACGAACGTCTACTGCACAGGCATGTGGTCAATGGAGGTTGCTGAAAGCTGGACTATGACCGGGAGGAGGTCTACCTCTCACACATAGTTTCCACCCACCCTGGCACTGAGGACTGCCTCCAGCATTTCCACTGCTTCCCTCAAGTTGTACGAGAAAGATGTGAACACTGCAACATAACCCCTAGGGCATTTCTCCACCATTAGTTCATGTGTGACCATGGCCGGGGAGCCCCACCCTGAGCAGGCAGGTCCTGGGCCTCCCGGCTGCAGGGCACCGAGCCCAGACCCCTGGTGTTCAGAGAAATACCAGCTTGCTTCCCCATTTACCTGTGCCTGTCTGACATTGTGGTTCTGGATTGCTGGGGGGACCTGGTCCACCCACCTGCCAAAAGCAGGGCCAGCCCAGGTGGTCCTGATGGACCCCTCCATCCTGAGGTTTCAAAGCTCCAGGGAGATCAAGAGCCTGCCTGGATGGCAACGCACCGGCACTTACTTATCTGCACAGTTACACACAGTTACAGGTACACACCTTGCTGCCGTTTTAAACTGTTAATTTTTTTGTCCCCTGTGATATGAAGAGCAGAACTAAATTTCTCTTTGAAGAAAACTTTTACCCATTTAAAGACTTGTGCACTCATTCTCTCAGTCCTCATTTATCTACACAAACTCAGCCTAAAAGTAACTCAGTTCTCTCTCACATTTCCCAAAAAATGTGCTTGTTTTTTGTGGTGCCTGGAAGTCCTCCAGTTCACCCACACTTTGCCTGAGTGAGTGTGCCCAGCATGAGATGCAGTACTACCAGGGAGATGCTGCCAAGTGGAACAGGGTGGTTGCTCCACATGGTCTGCATGTGATGCTTTCCTACACATGATGACATCCTGCCATTGCTGACTTAACATGGCGTTTCTTCCCCCATTGCCCCTTGGGAATTCTGTGGCATAAGCCCGATTGCCCATCTTACATTGTGCAAGGCCTCATCTGCACATGGATGCTACCCCACGTTTCTCCTTTACTGATCACTTGTTATTTTTATCACTGTTCTCCTGTGTGTTGAGACAATCTCCAGTCCTGCAGGCTCCACGGGGCAGTCTCCTAGCAGTGCTGGGACACCTGCCCTAGGGAAGGATGGAGATTTGCTGCACCTGGAATAAACTGAACATGGCAGGCGTAAGTAGATATAATCTATTTTTGGGGACACCAAAGAAATTCTGGGAGAGGAACCAGGATAATGCACTGGATCTGTATATTGGACAAGCTTTTATAAACTGAAAGTTGAGTTTAAGCTATTGACGTCTCATATATTTCCATCACATTGAAAGACGACGGGAAGATTTTCAGTGACCGTGGGTTTTGTCTTTCAGGTGCTGAAAGACACTGGGAAGATGTATCATGACCGTGGATTTTGTCCTGTGCAAGACTAGAGCCACGACCACCCCACAGGTTCCACGGGGTCAGCAAGCCCTTAAATAGCAGGAAACAGTACTTTATCCAGCCCTTTCTCCACATCATCATGCAGTGGCTCCTTGGAAAGCTTTGTAGTAAGTGGCAAACATTTTCCTGCATTATACAAAGGGAGTGGAAATATTTGTTTTTTTTCTAATTCAGAGTGGGTAGGATTATTAGCAAAAAACTGAGTTTGAAATTAATGTACCACACTGTGTGCACACTACACAGACAATATTTAATTCTCATGAGATAAGGAGAAAGAGCAAATAAAAGACCAGCAAAGGCCTGAGTCATGTAGAAAGTTTTTTCCAAAAAGTACCACCTTCACGCTTCTCAGTGTGGCTTTCCTACCTTTTGCTTGGTGTTTTGTGTTTTTTGGGGGATTTTTTTTTTTTTGGTTGGTTGTTTTTTAAATAAATGCAGAACATCACTGGTAATAAATTTTAAAATTAAATGATCCATAAAAACGTACAGCTTGCTGATGCTTTTTCAGGCAGGAGCCCCAGGCACCACACGTCATGGTGCAGCTGCGAAGGGGATGCCGGCTGGATCCCAGCTACAAATCACGATTCTGGGCTTTGCTGTCCGGTGAGACAGAGTTTTGTTTGGAAAATACTGAAAAACTTCTGAAAAGGAAGCTTTCTTAGATCTCCCTTTCAGAAGGATTTTAGCTTCTGTTTGTTCAGAATAAAAATAAAAATCAATATTCTCTGCTCTAGGAAATCCCTGGTTAATACTGGTATGAAAACACAAACCAAAGATAGCTTAGAGTCACCATTCTCTTAGATCTTTCATTGTCAGGTTATTTTCTTGTTTTTAGTATAAAGAGAAACTATGTGATGCAGGGACATTTCTGGTGCACTGATTAGTAATGCGCTGAGCCAAAAGTCCATCAGACCCTACTGCTCCCATCGGTGTGGAAGACTGAATAACTCCAGATGAACACCTAAATACCTGCTGCTGCTGATTGCCAAGTTTTGTTTTGGAAAGGAAAGATACAAACACATGGGAAGAGATTCTTGGGCCTCCACTATTTCATATATTTTTTAAATGTTTTTCCATGTAGTCAGCAAAGACTCATTTTTGAGAAGACATTCATGGTTTGATCTTATTGCTGTCAGTCATGCTGCAGTTGTCTGCATTCTTATGTTGCTGGGGCTGCACATGTTTTCTCCTATGTAAAAGATTTTGAGGTTATAACAATCAGAAGGAATACTGTCTTGATCTAAATACATATAATTTAGCAAGAGGAAAGCTCATGTATTATGTTAACAAGTGCTCACAAGGTTCAATTAAATTCTGCCATCACAGTTACCCAATATACATTGTTTTTTTGGTGAACAGTCTCCTTGACACCAGAGTTGTCCAGTACAGCAGGGATGTGCAAGACCAGCCAAACCACATAGGAGAAGGGAGGGATGGAAGCTGACAACATCCCCGCCTCCAACCGGGGCTGGCAGGCAGGTGTTTGGGAGAGGTTATAATAAACATACAGAAAATAACATGATTTTTCCTACCAGGTAGCACCTCAAGAATTTAGAAAATTCCTGAAACACATGTGGTGATTGTTTCCCCACCCCATCCCTCCCCCCTGCGCCAGGTCTCCGCATTTCGC